ATTCTGAGCCACTCTGCCCCCTTCGGAACGTAGTAGCGGCGTCCCTACCAGGACACTCGGGGCCGGCATGGAATCGAACGCAATCGCACGGCCAAGCTGGCTTATCGACGTCAGGCAGGATCTGCTCAAGTCAGCGTAACGATGCTGCCAATCGAATAACATCGTCGTCACGCTTTCTCAGCGCTCCTTACACACAGGCGTAGCTACGTGTGATGCCGCTCTTGGACGCAAATTAAATTAAATGAATGGAACACGATTGCCGTCGGGCCGCCGCCTTCCCGAGGAACGACCTCTCACGCGCCCGAAGCCTCATGCTGATGGCAGATCATTTAGCTGGGCGCATGCTGAGAGCGCCCCACAACTACTACTACGTCGACGCGCAGCACTTGATGATCAAGGCGGCAACACGAAGAGCTCTGATGGCACCCTCCATGAAGCCTCAACAGCGTCACATATGGTGTGCGCCATCTAGAGCGCCCACAGGCACACGTTTTCGCTTTCCAAAGCCCGCCTTACATCCTATCTCTGCTGTTTCGGGGGTGCCCTGACGACCGCGTTCGCCGGCGCTGAGACACTCATGAACGCGAGGGCATTGCGACCCTCATCAGAGTTTGGTCTGACCTTGCATCGGAGTGAAGCGACTCAGCACGAGGGGCGAATGAGGAGACACATGATCGCTGTATCACGAGCATCGCCGGCAGTATCTGCTCGCTATGTTCGCGCGCTCGATAGGAAGCACAAACAAGCAACATAAGTTCCAACCACATGAGACAAGCGCTTGCAGCAAACCCTTCTTCCTTCTTATCAGTCACTTGTTCCATCCTCCATCGTCCCGCGCGCTGCTTAGATGAGGCGAGGGATACATCTTCATTCAAATTGCGATCCGAGCCAATCAAGCTGCCACCATCACCGGTCTTTCGCCCGCGCTCCACGCTGATTGACCCTAATCAACCGTCCCGCCCGGCCGTCTGCTGCGCTCCGACGCGATTCGCGACTGCGCCAACCTGTTCGGGACG